GTCACGATACCCTAAAGCCTGGCAATGCTAGGAGGTGAGCTTTGCATGTGTTGGCTGGAGAAACTTTCCTTGTTTTGTACCAAGTGTCCAGTCAGGTCTCACCTTCTGGTGAGACACAGAGACACATAGTAAGTTGTCAGGGGAGGGTTAGCACATGATTCTCTCCACTTTTCACCTTCCCAGGATAAATGCAGACCCTGTCTACTTACTTGGGCATCCCCTGTCTGTATGACCTGCATGGCCAGTGCGTTTTTTGTCATGGAACGCACCGGAATGGAGTTCTGGCACCTTTTTTCGATGGATTTTCCAAGTTTTAAAAGTAACTTTTGAAAAATGGATGTTTGGTCCATGTGGATTTGAATCGCCCTGTCGAGCGTAGCAGGTCGGTGGCAAAATCATTAAAATGGTGCATGCGGGCTGCTTGTGTGTCGAGTCCGATGCATGCGCACTTCATCCGTGCTGGTCGTGATGGTGCTGCTCGGCTTGCGCTTGGTCTTGTGGTTGCGCGCTCAGTGCTTACTTCGGGTGGTGACCATTATGTTTCGTTACACAACTGATGTGTGTGGTTGTGTGTACAGTGATTGACTATGTGCAAAAGGTAAATATTTAAAAAAAAACCTTGGTGAATTTAAAATCTTTTTTTAATTTTTAGTGTAAAAGTGTGACCCCAAATTTAAAAATGAAAAAAATTACTTATTCTCAACCACCGGTCCTGCTAATAAAAAAGCCAGAATATTAACAGACACAACTACAGAACACATAGATACTAACAGCAGGGAAAGGAGTCTAGAAGATTTGTCGGACAAGAATTGGACAAAACTTTGGAATTTACTATGAACATTTGCCTTAAATACAATAAATTAAATTTATGTTAAGAACTGAATATATATTTTTTTAAATAAAAGATTAACAAGATATGAGTTCCAGCACCTTTTTTCTTACAAAAAAAGCACTGTGCATGGCCATTGACCAATTGCAATTGTCGCCATCAGTCAGTCGCTGTCAGCCAAACCTGGCAAAAAGCCTTTTTGGCGTTACCTCACATGAAGCACCATCTTTGTGGGGATTCCAAGTAGCGGCTTTCTGTTTTTGTGTCCACTTCTGCCTTGTTCTTGGGTTCATGAATAAATCCTCCTTTTTTAACTCTTTCTGGTTTGTTTGTTGTTGTTTGTTTGGCGGGGGAAATAAGTATTTTGTAGCCATCCATGCACCCCATGGCAGCCATTTTATAAACAGACACCCCTCCATGGTAGACATTTTGAGAGAGAGCCCACAATATTCTCTCAAAATTGCAGTTGTGCCTGCAAGCCAAACAATTTGGGGACCCTGCACTAAGAAATGCCAACAAGGGGCCCTGATACATGTGTGGTTGCTTTCTTAATTTACACAATAGGCAAGACAGAATGTCTGGTGTATGCATTTTCTTTTTATTGTGTATATGCGCTACCATTCTTCCTCTACTTTACAGATGTGCTTAGTTGGACTGTTGGGATCAGTGCCTATTTCGACCTTCAAGTTTTGTTATCTAGACTGTTTGGGTCACACTTATTGAGTGAGGGAAGGGGAGAAGGATGGGTAAATGTTGACTGGGACTGGAACCATCTAGCTTCCCTTTCCTGGATAAATGGCAAGAGGGTGGAAGAATCCTGCTAGACTCTGCCAGCATTATCTCGAGGCAGGTGGTGGCAAAAGTATGGGGAGTTCACTGTGCAATGGTCTACACTGGAGGACTGGTGCTGGCTGTAACACTGCTAACCCCTTTCAAGATAATGTAGATCTTTGTGTTGTCATTGTTTTTTTAAAGTATGTTTCAAAAGATTATGTGCTTTTTAGTACATTCTGATTTTTAATTCTTTGCATTACATCTAGAATATCTCTTCTGTAGAAGGAGTGGCTCTGCCCATGGTTGGTGCCATTGCCTGATTTTGGGGAATACCCTCTTCTTATCACAGCTTACCCATTCAAATAATTCCCTCAAACCCCAGTTAAGCATTTTCATGGAATTTTTCACAGAGAGGAAAAGGCAGAGCCACCAACTTACACACATGTAAATCGGGATCCTGCCCTTTCTGTTTAAATAAAAGTTTAATTTCTTTATCTTGCCACGGGTGAAATTGATAAGGGATCTAACTAATGAATGCTAAACAACAACAACCAAGGCAAATCTGGCTGCTGTTAAAATCTACTTTTTAAATTTAATGAAATATTATTTTAGTAAGATGATTGGAATTGAAAAAATGGAGATGGTTTACTGTCAAAATCTTCCTTTTCAGGAAATCAACAATGGCAAAAAACTCTTTTTCACATTCTGAATTTCAACTTGTAGGTTAGGCTTGTACAAGGGAAAGATTTCAAGGCTTCAGAATAAGACTTGAATAACATACTTTGCAGAAACCTGGCTTGGTAAGAAATAGCTTAATAATTTATAAGTTATTCTTGACTTTAACTCAGAAAAATCCCGCAACCATGTGGAGCACTGGAATAGACTCTGTAAAAACTGTCTTGTGATCAGAAAATTCTTTGCCATCTGGCAAAGGTCACCTGAGGTTACTAATTGCCTACCCTTAGGCAAACAGAGCTGACTTAACTTCAGGGATAAATGCTTCATCCTCAGGTGAATTCCTGTTGTCTGGGCAACAGATGTGGGAGGAGAGACTTCTAGCTGTCATGGCAACAGAGGAATCCCAGTCTTATCAACACATGTCCCTTCCCTCTCAGCTTTCAAAAGCTCTGCACTGTTTATTTATTGTGGAGACAACTGGATGGCATCTCAGAAGCTCTTGCAAAGCACTTAACATAGGTATGTATCTCTGGTTGGAAACCTGCTTGGATTGGGACTTGTGGGCTTCCTTGCTGTTTGATGCTAGATCATTGGAAAGTTACTAGGCTTTGTTTCCAATTCTGGGAGGGAGAAAACAGAGTGCGTAACCAGTATTTGTCAGTTTTGTTTCTAGATTAGGCACTAGCTAGATCAGCCATCCCAATCTGGTGTTATCCAGGTGGGCTGGATTGCAACTTCCAGGTTACCAGTCAGCCTGGTCATTCTGGAGGGCACCAGATTGAAGGATGGCTGAGTTATCTAGTTACATTGCTTTCCCTTTTGTGCTTCTTCCCCATCAAACACACAATCCCCCTTTTCATACTTGCTCTTTATGAATCATTCTTAAAAATAGGAAGATGTCATCCATTAATTTAAATTTAGATTCTACTAACTCCTCACCCACAACAATTGTGTGTGGGTGAGGAAACTATAAATGTCTCTGATCCAATTCCTGGACTGAAAGGCCAGGACACTTTGTCACGATGCGAATAATCCCTCTCAGTGTAATAATCCTCAAGGGTACCACATCTCTTTTGTTCATGCCTTCCTTCACCAAATTACATTTTGCAGTATACGCAACAGTCCCAGCAATAGTAATGCCATCCTAGACATTTTTATTCAGTAGTTGGTTTCTCTCTGTTTAGTGCATCTTACTCTCTTGTGTGTTTGGGATTGCAACCAAAGCATAGAATAGAAGTGAATAAGCAAGAGTAGAATCTTTCTGTTGTTTCATTGCAGGTCTTCCCACTTCCCAATTTTATTTCAGGAACTTCTCTCAGATCCCTAGCAGTTCACATGATGCTTTTGTGAGGCTGTGGCAAGAGTAGAGATTGCCCCTTGCTCTTAAGCCTTCCTTGTGGCTACAATTATACCATTATACAAAAGATCAGCCAAAGACCTTCCAGTTCCATGATTTGATTTCCAAAGCTGCATTCTACACCCTCAGCAAACTGTGTTATGGATGCTGACTCTTTGGTGCCAGAACTATTAGGTTCTCCTAATCTGCCCCCATCTGCAGATGTTGGTGCCAATAAACTGGCTCAGAATTCCCCAAAAGACTCAGCTGAGAGCCATGCAAACAGACCAGAAAAAGATGCCAAAGAAGCCTGGAACCAAAATCTCTTGGTGTCTCCAGCTGAAGGAGTGGAAGATATTTACAATGAGGAGCAGTGCCCATATGCCCCTGAAGTAGAGAGGTATTACTGTCAGATCAACTGGCCACAAGCCGTGCTAAATAAGTGGGCAATGGAGAAGACAGACAGGCAGAGGAGACCTAGCCTGACCATCAGACAAGATGCGGCCACCAGTGGTAGCGAGATGCCTGAGCCAGCCCCAGAGGGACCTGCCTGTGAGCATGGTGAGCCAGAGACTGAGACTCTTGGGATGCCACAGAAATGCTGTTGTAGCACAGAGACATAGATAATAAACAAGCATGGAATTACATTGCCCAGTGTGGTGAGAACATAGTACAGATTGCTGCATTGGCTCATTTCAGTCTCCCAGCATGCGGTTCTATCTGAAAGTTGTGCCCTGGACTGAGGATATTCTGCCCTCTACAGGTGTGTTAAAGAATGGGTTCTTTTAAAACAGCACGCTAGAGAATCTCATGTTCATTGTCCATTCTTTGTTCAAACCATATTCCTAGCTTTTATGTGGCAATAGTAAGCTTGAAAAAAAGATCAGAGATCTTTCAAAAACTGGATTGCGGCTAAGCAGGAGAAGATGCTTAGGATTCTGCATAGCTCTTGTCTCTTCCCCTTGTATAAACAAAGAATTGTAGCAAATATGAACTCAGGAGGTGTTGGCAAGCATGAAAAGGAGCAGGGAAATAGGTAAGAGGATGGAGCCAGGACCTATGGAAACAGTCCCTCAACTTGGTCAATTGAAAGCATGCCCATATAGTGTCAGAATCAGAAAAGCTATGGTCACATTTTCAAGATCTTGTGTAGACCTCTTCCTTCTCCCCTCTATTCAAAGCTTAGATTTGCAGAAGCCTCATAGCTGAGCCACTGGCATCTGTGCTGGAACTCTATTGGTATGTTTTGCAGGAGCAAAAGCAGGCAGAGAGCTGAGGTGTCCCCACCCACATGGAAACACGCACACAAACTCAGGACTGACATGATTATAGAAAGCTCTTTTATTTGGCATAGTAGGAATCTTTACGCCCATGGTGCATCTGGAAAAAAGCCCCAGATGACATTTCCTAACATGAATCCTCCCTCTACATGGAATCCAGAATTTTCAACACTGGAGTCTTAGACCTCACATCTCCATGGAGAAAGCCAGGGTGGTATCTGCCATTTTCCTTTGATAGTCTTCATTAAATCGTTCGTTCTGGGCCACTGTGAAGTGGTTCTTCCAGTCACCAACTGTCCCTGTAAGATAACCCCCCCACAGCACACACACATCCTCCAGTCAGAAATGTGGGGAAGAATTTAGAATGTGACTTTCTGCCACTGAGCCCTAGAAATGGCCGCCCTGGGAATAGCATCAGGAGGTTTCTTTGAATGAATCTCACACAAGGTTTATGACTTGTGAGATTTAAATGATCCACCAGCTGTCTACTTGAGCATGCTATGCATTGACCCAAATAAAGAAGGGGAGAATGTAGGCATACCTTTCCGCATAAATGGGGAAATTGACTGATCCATGATCGACATGGGCACATTGGCCCGGTTGACCAAGGGATTGTTCTTCATTATGTCAAATGAAGTATGGTGGACAATTTTGTCTAGAGTCACTTCATCAAGCTGCTTTCCTATAAATTGCATCACCTTCCGAATTTCAGACTTTGGATCCTAGGGAGATAGAAAACAAAGCAAACAGCAGCTGCAGTACCCTCTGTTTTAGCTCTAAGTGTTTACAGTATGTTTCACTATGTTCTTACATTATATGGTTCTAGCTTTTTTATTTGAATAAACGTTAAAAAGAGCAAATATAGAATGTAAAAACTTAAACTGAGAAGATTTAAAACATTTACTTTTATCCATTTAAAAGGAAATTGTCCCTTGATTATGTTAAAGAGAAGCTCTATGCAATCTAATATGATCACAGATACAGTTCCAACAAACAACAACATGGCTTCATTTGTTGGCAGCCATGGAGGAATCAAATCTCCCAGTACATTTTCCTCCCTGGATCATATTTATCCATCTGTGATCAAGGATGTAAACTTAGCTAAAGTCCTTTTTCCATGGTCGTAAGTTTATTTTTGTTAACCACCCAGAGAGATTTGGCTGCCGGGTGGTGTAGATTGCTAGCTAGGATTGGCAAGAGAAATAGGACAAGCAAGGGAGCACTGAGAACAACCTTTGTGGCCTCCTAGAAGGACGCCGCAGAAAAGTGGCTCAGCACCCCGTGATGCACTGTATCTTGGCATAGCTGTTTCATGGTTCCGAAAAAGCCCCTGAAGACAGCTTTCATAAAGGGATCCCACAGTCTGTCCACAACACAGAGCTGCTTAGTAGTAACATCTGGAGCAATATAAGCCAGGCGAATCCCTTTTGTTTTGCTATCCCAGTTTCCACTGAATGTATTGCTATAGTCAGTCTTTCCTCTGGAGGGTCAACTGCCTTTCAATAACTTCTTGCATCTGACCAGAGATAGCAACAACTGAAATGGGGGGGGGGGGGGGGGGGGAGCAGGGGCTGGTGGTGACCAGCTGATCCTCAGTAGCAATTTGTTCTGGGGCCAACAGTGAATAATGCCTAGTTCTCCTTTTCCCCTGTGTGCTGGCTCACTTCTTGATCATCGTGTCACATGTGCACTGTGCACAAACTTGGCGCATAGCAGAGCCCTGTGCATTCTTGAGGGACCCCTTCCAGACACTCTTATGCAGGGCAAGCCCCATTTGAGGAACCCATTTTTGCTTTCTATTTTTGGGGACACCATAGAAATACTCAAGCTAAGAGGTCACAGCTTAAAGTTCCTTTTGAAAGAAAAAAGTCTGAGAGATCCAAACCCAACGAGCTGCCTGGTCAGTTTTCATTTCAGCAGCACCTCAGGAACAGCCAAATCTTTTCACAGCCTGCCCTACAGCAGAAAAGAAGGCTGATGGGAAGAAAAGGGAATTCTGAGATTTTTTTTTCTTCAAGACCAGCATCAATCCATTGGTCTTTATCTCTTGCTATAATTTAAGGAGAATCTACCAATCGCAACCCCAACTCCCTCTAAATGTTTTCCAAACTTCCTGCAACCCTGCTTGCTGCTGTGCTTACCTTCTTGATGTCCTCGTAGAAGAGATAGAGCACGCAATGGGTTTCTTTTGCCTTCCACCACCCTTTGACATGATCATACCATGGGCCCCAGCCAACTGGAGGATACAGAACAAAGCAGGGTGCAGGAATTTGCACGGTGACAAGTCACATGGCTGGAGACACAAGTAACAAATACATCAGGTACAGTCGCGAATCATCTCTGCCCTGCCTGTTCTGCATGCATGCTGGAAACTGCATAAAGCCCCGAATCCAGCTCACATTTGTCACAACAGCACAGAAGGTAGCCTGTATGGGATGTCACTGGGGCAGAAACAGCTCCTGGAGCCCCCAGAATTGCTCACCTCTACTTTAGTTCAAAGAGTTGCTTTCAATGGGACTGTCAGCACCAGGACATGAGCAGCAAACATCTGCAGCTAGAACACCAGCGGGTGATGGAGGTCTTGACAAGATGCAGTAAGGCAACGGTAGCATCAAGAACAGGCAAGGACCAGATACTGACAAGGTGTAGCATAACCAGAGGCAAAGGCAGAGTCAAGAACAGGCAGGGATCCAGGCACAGATGAAATTGCTGGACTGAAGACTGCCAGATCAGAAGCATGAAGACTCAAGTTGTTGCGGCAAAGTTCAACAGAACTAAGCAGCCTTTTATAGCTCCTTCTGTGGCTTCCAGGGGGTCTGCATGATTGCACTGGTTCTAATCCTTGCAAGCACCTTCTGATCTGATCCTGCAACTACTTGGAAGGAGAACCAGGCTGCCAATTCTACCAAGCCACCAACGGGAACTGTGTTGCTCTGCAGGTTCTGACACGGGCTTGTCATGAATACGGTAAAAAAATACCGTATTTTTCGCTGTATAAGACGCACTTTTTCCCCCTCAAAAGTAAGGGGAAATGTCTGTGCGTCTTATAGAGCGAATGTGTGTGTGCCCGACGCCCGGGACGCTGCTGGCCCGCCTGCACCACATGACACCACCTGGCCGGCCCATGCTCGGCGCGCGCTGCTCCGCCCCGCCCCCCCGGCGCAGGTGAGAGCTGTGCTGCTTGGGGGGAGCGGTGCAGAGGAGGAGGAGCTGCAGCCTTTAACCCTCCGGCCGCACAGAGAGATGGACTGCTCACCCCCACCGCCCAGAAAGACCTGCCACCACGCCGCCTGGAAGACCACCGCTGGCATGCTGCCAGCCCAGCTGCACCACACCTGGCCGGCACGCGCTTGGCGTGCCCTGCTCCGCCCCCGTCCTCCGGTGCAGGTGAGAGCTGTTAATCACAGGTCGGTGTGTGTTTTCAAATGGCAACCCGTCTTTTAATGAAGCCCATGGGGAAGTGATGGGGAATGTGCCTGTGATTATCAGGAAGCTTTCCATGGATCCCTCCTCTAAAAACTAGGTGCGTCTTATGGTCAGGTGCGTCTTATAGAGCGAAAAATACGGTAATAAGAATACATAGTGTAAAATAGAACTAGTGGGCTGTAGTGTAACATTTAAAGTCTCAGACTTGCACAGCAGAGATCCGGGTACAAATCTCCACCAATGCAGGGCTTTCTGCTGAAGCTTTCCCGTTCTCACTCCTCCATTAACACATGCGCCTGCTCTAACTCGGGTGCATATGTTCCCCCATCTCACATGTGTCAAGTGAGCTTTGGGGAGCTCTCTTGCATTGTCTGTTTCGGTGTCTGGAATGCCTATCAATTGAAAAGAATATTTGCTGTATTTTTTATTCTTCGAAGGGCTTATCTACCTGAGGCATATAGCTGGGCACTTAGTATGTAAGTGCTTCTTCAGTTTTCTTTGCAGGCAAATTCCAGTGCCCTTCCCATGAGCCTGCTTTTTCCAGGGTTTTTCCTCTCTGCCTTTCTGTGTGTTCCTATGAGCTCCTTACATGACACAAGGTGGTGCTGTGGCACAAAGTGGAATTGCAAAAATCCATTCCGCTTCTGTAGCCACTAACAGAGCCATTTAGGAAAAGACTAGACTTTTCCCACTCTGCAAAAATGGCTGGAAAACACAGCGGAGGCCCTGCAAGGATGACAACATCTCAAAGACCCCTCCAGTTTCTACAAGTGAGGGATTATGAGTGCACAATAAATGCCTTGTGCCGAGAAGTCCTTAAAACCAATCTGGTTTTGAAAACTTTTAAAAACCTGGTTAAACCATTGAGCCACTGGGCTGTTGATCAGAAGGTCAGCAGTTCATATCCATGCAGCAGGATGAGTACCTGCTGCTCATTCTAGCTCTTGCCAACCTAGCAATTCGAAAGCACACAAATACAAGTAGATAAATAGGTACCACTTTTTTGGGAAGGTAACAGTGTTCCATGTGCCTCGGAGTTTAGTCATGCCAGCCACATGACCATGAAGGTGTCTTTGGACAATGCTGGCTCTTCAGCTTACAAACAGTGGTGAGCACTGGCCCCAGAGTTGGATATGACCAGCAGCAGGAGAACCTTTACTATCATTATTATTATTATTATTACTGCCAAATGCAATAGATGGAGTCACTGAAGCAGTCGGCGTGAGCTTAAGTGGACTCCGGGGGATGGTGGAGGACAGGAAGGCCTGGAGGAATGTCGTCCATGGGATCACAATGGATCAGACACGACTTTGCAACTAATAACAACAACAGCCAAATGTGATTTATAAAGCTTGTTATCACTTTGACATTCTTGTAAGCTCACTCCCAATGTAAGCTCACTTGCTCACTCTGAGATAACTTACAGACATGTTGTTTCACTTACCTTTGCCTGCCATGAAAGTTTCAATGTATTCTTCCCATGTTCCTGGGTGAGGGTTCACCTTGCTCATCCGCTGGAAGTGGAAGTAAGACACCAGACAGTCCTTGGCATTCCTAGCCACATAAAGAAACTGGCAGTGGGGAAGACAAACAGAAGAAACATTTGTGTATTAATTTGTTTGATGGATAGGCAACTCTACCTTCAGGAAGCTCAGAAGATAAGGAGACGTGGTTAGCAGTGGCAAAATATAATGGTGCCCTCTGTCCTCGCAGCATTCTCTGTGAAAGGTTGCAAGAGGCTGAGAGGCAACTCTGCAACCGGGGCAACTGCTGATCACATGGCAGTGACTGAGAGATGCACCATGGATGTAACTTTGTGCTGTTGACACATGAGGGTTCAATCATATCCAGAGAAACTACTGGAAATGGGAAGTAGTTGTGGCACCTTGTGGGCAGAGTTTAGTTTACAAGTCATGTGGTAAAGAGCAGCCTATCAGCCAAACTAGGAATAACATTAGTTGTGTGCATGCAATGTACATACACATTTTCAAAGCATATAAACAGCAGCAGCAAAGGAAGAGGGATGGGCAGTATCAGAACTACAGGGAGTGGAAAAGGAGAGTTTAATCCTTTTCCCTGGCCATGGACCAGTCCCAGTGAGGCAGCGATTTGTCTTGGGGTGGGGAAAGCATCCATGGGAACATGGCTGGGTGGGAGGTTAAGCTGACCTTCCACATCTCTTACGGTCCTGACATTGCTTGGGGGGCCCACAGCTGCTCTTAATGCCACATCTAGCTTGGCCATCTGATCTACTCCAGAATATTTGAGGATAAGCAAAACAGAGGGTCTGTTTTTAAAGAGAACTCAGTCTGGATTGCCTTACCTTGCAGTTTTGCTCCCAAAAGGACTGAGGCAGTAACTGCACTGGGAGATGGGTTTTCAGAATCCTTGGAGAAGGCATTGCTTCTGCCTGGTCCACCCCTGTTCAAAGACATGAGGCACTTGTGTCAGCTAAACTGGTTGGAAAAAATATTCTCTCCCTTTTCTGAGGGTAAACTGAAATTAATTTTAATCAGAATTAGTAACATGACATCTCTGTCACAGAACCTGGGAACTGTATTTTTGTAATTCTATCCAAAATCCTTTTCCCCTCATAAAACCACCATTCCCAGGGAAAAATAGCCAGTTCAGTGGTTACAACAGGGATGAGGCAATCTGTGACCATCCTGAAGGCTGGGCCCACAAGCCCCATCATTCTTCATCATTGTCCATACTGGCTAGGGATGATAGACGTTCTAGGTGCAAGTATTTGCAGGGTCAGCTAAGGTTTATAGCATGGACAATGATGTGTGTATCACCTGAAGGTTGGGGTGGACGGGCCCACTCTATGAATGGGTGTCGATGATGGACAGGAGCCCGCTGACATTTTTCCAGGTCACCATCTTGTTGGACCATATCCACTATTTCTTGTATCCATGTCGTGCCTGCCATGGCAGGAAAAGAGAGAAGTAAAAGAAATCAGGATGCATGTGTTCACTGTTATGCTTGCTTAAGTGATCTAAGTGCTATACTAGGGTACTTCAGATGAATGGCTCATAGCATCATCCATCAAGAGGCACCATGTAGCTATTCCATCTGTTACTTCTTAATGGATTTTTTTGGTTAGAAGATGGAAGATGCATCCGGAAAATATGGGAGGGTTACAAATTGAAGATGACAATGTCATCTGTACCCTGTAAAATTCCATGACTGAGGCAGGGGAAGTCTTTTGGGAACATCCCAAGACAAGCTAAACTCTGCAACCTGAAAAAGTATGTGCATTTTATCAAAGTGTGCTAATTTCACACAATTTTTCATGGCTCTTGCTGTTTGTGGTGGCCATGAGAAGGGAAAATGAACTCTGCAGACCACTGAAGTGAATTCCCAACTTTAGTTGTAATTGGTCTCCCTCTGCTGCTTGAGGTTTCATGAAACACTGCAAACATTTTCACATTTGAAATTCATCAGGGCTAGAAACTTATAAAATGATGTGGAGAATCTCTTCCCTACATGTACATTCTGAGAAGGAAAGAACTATCTTACCACCCCAAAGTCTCAATTAGCTATCTAGCAAAACCTTTCACCTGAAGCCAGCAGAAAGCTGAAGCTCTCTGGAGTCATTTTCCTCTGTAAGCCCTCAGTGCAGCATTGTCCCTAGGAGATTCTCACCTGCTTTGGGATAGGTGCAAATAAGCAGGTCATCTGGCCTTGCTTGAAAGCCCTGTATTTGGCTCCATTCATTACAGGTGGTTTTCGGCAGGGGGATCCCATCCACTTTGCCTAGCTCAGGGTGTTTCTCTGGCTTGAGTTCTTTTCCTTCTTCTCTGGACATTGCTTGTGGCCTGCTAGATGAAGAAGAAGGGAAGGCAAAAAGATGAGTGGGAAAGTAATCTTGCCAGACATCTTCACCAGCAGCTAGGAAAGTTCTATTTATTGCAAATAGTAACTTTGCGGCAAATAGCAGCAGCATGTGTGTGCACGGATTTTCAGGAGGAAGCTGGCACAGGGGACTAAATCCCAGATTGAGAGCATAGTCTCGATTGGAGTCAACAGATGTTTTTTCCTCTGCTATAACAGTACTTGGGGCTGGGGGCATCCTATGAGGCTGCCTGTAATCCCCCGAACTGGGAAGGTTGTAGGGCATCCCACTGAATCCAGGAGACAAGTATTGCCTCTATGCTTCTCAGCCTGCAAAAGAGATTGCTCTTCCTAACTCTGCCTCCGCAGGATGCTCCAACTTGCCCTGAAGATGCTCTTCCATTTGCACTGACTGGAAGGGCCATCTGGGGACAGCTCCCCTGCTGTGCTTGGAGCAATCTTCCACCATCATAACAGGGACTGCACCACGCAGTGCCTACCAACCACAGGATTGTGCCCTAAGTAAAGAGTGCCTTTGGAGAAGTGTGACTAATATAAGGTGTATTTTGGCTCCAAGATATCTGGGGTACATGCTTGAAAATGTAAATTCTGAGTAATAGGGGCAAAATTGATTGCAAAAATCTATTTACCTCCTCTCTCACACACTAATTCAGAAGGCAGCATTAGCTGGGACTCACTCCTGGTTTAGTTTATCTTTGCACACTGTGTGGGAGAGTGCCCTGAAAATGCCCCATGAAGGTAAACAAAGGAGTGGGTTTGCACCACCCTGGGATTCCTTGCTTATCTTGCCATTGTGTTCATTCAGAATAACAGTTCTGTGTAAGCTGCCTCAGGAATCCTTGGTTGCATAGAAATCTTGAGTATATTTTTCTACCTTTTCTCCTTGGTGAGTTGAATTGCAGAGTCTTCCTGGTAACTCCTACAAGGAGTGCAGCTGAATGTAAGAAGAATGTATGTAGGACTGGATTATAAGTTGGAAGGTCCCTCCCAGGGGAGGTAGCTCAAAGGTTTCTGTGTGCAAAACTCTGCTGCGTAAAAGCCAGTTGGACTATTGGGAACTGTGATTTTGTTTTGTTTTTTAAAAAATGCAGCCAGTTGTAACGGGCAACCTTGTGATGAAGCTGATTGTACTTATCAACCAGATATGTTGTTTAAAGATTTGTGTGACTGGTCACTTAAGAAAAGGAACATTAACTGGCATTCCTGGAATTATGAAGACTCACAGAGCATGAATTCTGCAGAGCACAGCAAATAGAATGACTTTTATGGCATCGTTGCCTTCTCTCATTTATGCAATTTTACAGAGGACCCAGATGACATCTTCCACCCACAACCCTCCCATGTTATCCCATTGCCTCTTCCTTTTTTTTCTCCCTTACTGCTGGAAATCCCCTAAAATCACAGTCCTATGCTAATTTAGACAGCAACAAGCAAAAAACTCCTATGCAAAGAGCTGCCTGTGGCAAGCTGGGAGTTGCAGGCCTCTTTGCTGCCTAAATTTGCATGGGATTGCATCCTGCAGAAGAAATGATGGAATAGCTGCCCTGGGCTGAGTGGTTGCTCCAGGGACCCTTCTGTTGGAAGTCCCTTAAATTGAACCTTGGTGAGTGAGGTTCAAGAGCTGCACATACGACAGAAATGTGGCCTAAGAGATGACAGAATGGAACAAAGGAAGGGGAAAGTCACTGTTCATATAGGAAGCTGCCATATAGTAAGCCCATTTGCCCCACCTTGCTCTGTACCGTTTATACAGAATGGCTGCCATATCTCCAAGCCCCAGGTCTTCCAGTGTGTAGCAGAGGAGTCTGATGAGGACAAAGCACAGGATACTGGGGCTCTTCAGGGTTCTGCTGTATTCCTGCTTTGGTCTACATTTGTACCTAAAGCTTGCATATAGCCTGAATTGCCCGACCCTGCCTAATCTTGGAAGCTAAGCAGGATCAGGCCTGGTTGAAATCTGGATGGGTAACTTAAAATGTGAACAGATGGGTGGCAAAGAAATGTAACGGTAATAATAATAAAGCAAATCCATGATTTTCAGGTGATTTGTTAACCCCCCTGACAAGTCACTGGGTTCAGATGACAGAACTAGCTACAAGGTGGGGTTGGGTTCTGTAATAGGCACTCAGAGGCACCTGGCACAAGCCAGAAGCCACTGTTGCCTATTGCAGCATCCCAAAAGTAATTGGCTAGAGGAAGGCCCCAAAAGTAGTTGGCCAGAGGAAGACCACATAGTAAAAACACCAGCTAGACTGTCCCAGAAGGGTGAGTGGATAAGAATAAAATGAACTTTGTGTAACCCACAGCTAACATGCTAGCCTGACCTCAAATACAGTAATCAAAGGGACAGTGGAAACTGGTTCTAGCCACCATGAAAGTTGCAAATGTGCAGGGAGTAAGAACATGGCAAGGCTGTGTGAATCTCGAGCAGATAAGAAATAGACATGGGAAATGTCTGGTCCTTGACAGAAGAAAGGACTCTTTCTCCAGCACGGGAGGGGGTGCATAAATTGATGTATTGATGCATTAGAAGTGTACTAGGTGACCTAATTGGTTACCTAGGGTATAAAATGCATGAACCGGGGTGCAACTTTCGAGAGACTGCTTTGGGCTAAATGCCCCCTTTGGTCTCCCTTTATTCTATAGTGCACTAGAATAAAGCTGGTTTTGGCTCTAAGTCTCGTCTCAGGCTCTGTTTGGCTCAGGTCTGGGGTCCACCTGGGTTTGCCCTAGCTGTTGACTGGCTGAGTTCGGTAACACCACTGTGGCTTCTTTGACCTCCTGTGGCTCAACCGGGTTATGTGAATAAGAACAACTAAATAACAGACAACTACTGAATGCAGGATTCATGCTTAATAACTAAGTCTGGAGAGCAGATGAGCTGGAAAGATGAGGTGAAATGGCATGGATTGGTGAGGTGAAAAAACAATGCAAGGCATCAGGTTGCAACCATGGAGCTGCAGCCAGGAAAGAAATCCAAGGAAGGTCTCTTCCCAGTTGAGGAAAAGCTTGTACAAAGTGGATTAGAAATCTTCCCAGGGACAACTAACCAAAGCATAGCATCTTTACTAAAGATGCACAGAGAATAAACTAGAAACATTACAAATGCACAGCCTGAGAACCACATAACATCATGCTCAATTGGGGCAGAACAGGCAACATAAAAGGTGTTTCTCAAAACACCTTTGGAAAGAGAAAGGAAAAAAATACAAGAAAAAGAAAAAAAATGAAGGGAAAAAGAAGAAACAGGACACAACCACTATTAACCCATGATGGCATCACAGAGACCTTAGCAATCCGGAGCCCAGTTTGCCTTGCTTAGAAGCAGAAAGGACAAAAAAGGCCAACAATGCACAGCAGAACTCTAAAGCCTGAACATTTCAAAAATCTTCTTTAGGGTGTGTGCCAAGAACTGCTGTGTGTGTAACTTCATTGTTCTGCAAAGTTTACTTTGTGAGGCCTCTGAAAGGCTGGTGTCTCTGAGGTGACCCGAGGCCTTACTTTGTTAACATGCTCTGAAGAGGGGGGTGGGGGAGGTGGTAACCATAGCAACCCTGATCAGGTTACTTCAAATCTGATTGACTGAAGGGGGAAAGAACTGTTGGGAAATGACAGTTAGGGGATGACAGTTGGCAATTAGGAGTCTAGTCTGAAGGAGGCTCTGGAGAAAGAGGAGATCCACTGTTGGTGTCTGGTGTGAAAAAGGGATTGGAGAAAGCTGAGGAGAAGGTTAACAGCTATTCTTCCTCTGTGGGATAATAGTAGATGCCAGGTGAAGATGAAGAGTAGGGAGCAGGTGCTCATGTTATGTGAAGAGGCTGCCATTAAGTCTTGTTAGTATAGGGTTACACAAGCAGGCTGTAAAAACCGTAATAAACAGTCCAAGCAGTCAGACATACAACAGGAAGAAGTTTGGGCATCTGCACAAGGTAGGCCTGGTTGTGAGTGGGTTTGGTTGGGATGGAAGTGTAAGTGTAGGGAATTTGGCGTGGAATAATTAAGGAAGCAGTCCTACTCAAATTTCCTCAGGAAAAATGCCCTATGAATCCCACCATACCTCAGCTAACATGGCTGACTGGGGCATGCTGGGTGTTGTAGGGCTTCCTCCTTTCCAAACAGCAGTAAAATTGTGTCCTAAGAGGCTTATATTAGCAACTGTGTCTCTTGAGTCCTGGTTGCAATAAGCAGCCTTTAGAAAAAACACAAAAATTAGTATTCCCATATATACAAAATATTCTTTTAAGGCACAATTTTAGGCCCGTTCAGGCAGGACAAAGTCCTACAACTAGGACTTCATTCTGACTAAATAGGCATATGATTTTGGCCTTAATAAAATTACTTGTTTAATAGTTTATCTTGTCTCTGGCATTGTTCCCCATATTTCTTAAACCAGCTACTAGGAGAGTTTAAAGTATTTTCAGAAAAAGGAAAAAGTGTGAAACTCTGGGTCATATTAGCAGAGAGTTCCTTAGGTCTTGAAATAAATGTTTGTTAAGCATAAGAAACTCCAGAGCTAGGACTGCCCAGTGAAGGAACAGTTTCCTCACAGGAGGTGGTAATGCTGGAAAGAATATATCTCATAGTAAGGAAATGATATAATGAAAGCTACAGTGGGCAGAACCAAGGCAGACTTGTTAATTATCATGTGTCTACTGGGTTGTGGAGAAATCAGTTTTTAGAGCCCAAAAGAAGGATTACTAAACACACAACTACCACCAGCATAGACACACCTCTGTTGCCTTGGGACCATTCTTAGCAGAGTTTCAATACCACAACTGAGTTTTGCTGTGAGAAGAGCATTTCATTGGGTGAGTCTGTATGGAAATAAATGGTTAGTGAGGGAGCTTTCACTTCTGCAAGTTAGCTGCCTTCCCCAAAATTAAATTCCTCTCCTCTATATAGTCCCACTTAGAATATGTGATGAAACTTGGGTCTGCTTAAATCTCATCAAGTCAGGTATGAAGGC